ATACTGTACTACGTATGCGACGTTGTAGTACGTGTACAGAAATGGAAAAAATTGGGCGCGTCTACCCAATATTATATTGAATCAAAATTTTATTATTTTTTCAATACCTTTATAAGAAGCAGAAACAAGCTTCAAAACCTCATAAAGTGTATAAATTTTATGTCCAGTTACAACCCTTAAAGGCAGCTAAACAAGTCCGCTTGTTCGCCCGCCCATCTGTCTGTTTGCGTAACTTTGTAATATTTTTGGTAAACATTCTCCTGTTAGTGAAAATGAAGATATCGCAAGAAGAAGATATCAAAATTCCCAAAAGTATTTAGAATTGACCTAAACTTTTCGCCTACGCCTACAAAGCCCACATGCTACTACGGCAAAAACTTTTATTTTGAAAATAGAAGAAATCAACTGTGCCCGTTCCATATTGTAGAGCATGAGGATTTTGTTCTTTTACTTCTATTGCCTTTTTTGAGGTAAAGAGTGAGGGATATAAAATATTCGGTTCCAACCGAATTTAATTATCTTACTTGTTTTTTTTTTCAACTTTCTTTAGGCAAAAAACTTTTTCTCTTGAATTTCTCATCTAATTAATTCGAAAAGTTTCAACAATACCCTTTTCTTATTGTTTTACCGTTTTGAAAAATCTGGTTCGGATATGAGCACTCGCGACATCCTCTTTCATCTTAGAATGGCGGGACTGAAAGTAAGTCTCATTGCACTTTACAGCACTTGTGCTAAATTTGTACGGCTAACGGCTAACTGTAACATCGGGAATGGCTTCAGATGGACCGATTTAGAATCATTTTCTGAGTAAAGATAATCTTATCTGTCGGTTCGTTTGTCTGATGTCCCTTCATGTCAGTTGATTTTCAGTATATAGGGCCAATTTTTAAGATATTATGATGAAATCCGATATACAGACATGTTTTAGTTCGGGAGTGAATGCTTTTACAAATGTATTCGAATTGGACGATTCTTACAACCATTCCATATATAACGCCCGATTTGAAAAAGTCTTTATACGAAAAAAAACTGTAATTTTTGTTATTTCCCTACAAAAGTCAATAGCGCATAATATTTTGGAAGTTTAAGTAGAAATATAGAAGATTCGGATATGAAAGAAATGACTTCTCAACTACGATCTTGGTGGGGTTACGAACCACATGCGAACCAATGCAAAGTATTGGAGCTATTGTTTTATCTTAATTTATCCATAAATATACTCGAGTAGCAAGACGTGAAATTGTTGATTTCCTTTGTTTTGTTTTGTTTGATTCGTTTACATTATATTCCTTGTTGTTGTTGTTTAATGTACATATTGTATGTGTTTTGTTTATTTTCATAAAGGTTCTTATTGTTATTTTTGTTTCTGTTTATCCTTTTCATTTCTTTCTTTTTGCTTGATAATACTATACTAATGTATAATGTTATTTGTGTTAGCAGGAACTTCTAGATGTCTATTATTATAATCTATTATTATACGATTGTATAAGCTTATGTTTGATGAGAATCTAATTATAAATTACAAATACAAAAATAGCACCAATTTAAACAAGTAAAAAATTTTTATTCGGTTTTGATCGAATCTTTCATACCGATTACCGATCACACGATTTAAAAAATACGTATGTACATATGTACACATTCTACTAGATTTTTTTTCAATTACGTTCTGTAGCGGCAACCACTCAACGTTACTGCTCTAGAAAAATCTCTGCTTTTTGAGAACTGACTGTATTCGTTTTGTTCTTTGGCTTTAACATGTCTATAAATTTGAGGTTTGTGAAAAGTTAAGTTCTAACACTAAATGGTGGGAAGCCATGCAAAGGGCGCACCAATCATTATTAATGAATGGCAAACATGGCAATTAACAAATGTTTTAAAACTTAAAAAAGTTATTGGTAAAAAAAGGGTTTTCTCTCGTAAACAGATAAAGATGGATTTAAAGCACGATTAGTTGTTAAAGTCGCATCGTACGCATTATACCGAAACGTTTTCACTTGTTGTCCGTAATAAAACAATCGGGATCCTGTTTACGATCACGTCGGAAGATAAGCAACGGTTTATCCAAAAAGCGACAATGTGTACATGGCGCAACCAGAGCAACGACTTGATGAACAATTTTCCAAAAAAAGAGTTAAAATTCAAGAAAGGTTTATATAGGTTAAGACAGCCTGAGTTTCCGTGGAAATTCAAATTAGGTAACATTTTAAAAGGAATTGTGTTTCAACAATGTGAATCGTGTGTTTATGTCGGAAATGGTGAAGGCCAAATCAACATCATTGCGATGTATCCAGATGTTCTTCTTATTACCTGTTCATCTAAATATGATTTGGGGTATTGCTGTCCAAGTGGATGTCGTTCACAAAAAGCCTGTATTTTTTAAGTCTTGAAGTAGATAAAATTCATAAAATTGGTGACATTACAGTTAGTCACACAGTAAACCGCACATTGAAAAACTTTCTAAAAAACATCTCTTGATTTTGGTCATTAAATAAAGTGTGATTTGTGTGACTGTCATAAAGTTGACGTAGCACACTATCAGTCTTTGATAGGCTCGACAATGTATGTTGGAAAAAATACCAGACTCGGTGAGAAAGAACAATTCACATTAAGAACATTTAGAAGCTGTAAAAAAAGCAAAAGGATGCAAGTTTATGAAATCCGGAAACCCGATGCGGATTGTATGCGGGGGTACTAATGACCGGAAATTTCATACAGAATATGTTATTTCCGTGGCTGGAGGTGTCTTCTCATATGAATAATATGGATTTGTATTTTTAAGTGTTATATATGTTGTAAAAGAAGTTATGTTCGTGAAAAAGTTGTTGCATGAGATGGGCTTTGCCTGCCCGGAATCTATAGCTGTAAATTACGATAATATGAATGCGATCAACTAGGTAAAAAAGTCGGTATGTCATTCTCGAAGTAAACTCAGGGATCTCAAATACCGCTACATTCGGAATGTGTATAAAAACAGTGGCTCTATATTATAGTATTGCAGTGCGAACCAGTTGGTGGCCGACATTCTTACCAAGACCTTACGCAACATAAACAACCAAAAATGTGTCAAGTTATTAAACGTAGTTAATTAATTTTGCCGAGGCACTATTTTAATGTTGTTTTAAAAATTAAAGTTTATGTACATTTTCATTTGAAAATCCGTAATAGATGGTTTGATAACCATTTTTTTTCAATTTTTAGAACTAAACTATCCAAACTTAAGGAATGCTTTCGTAGTAGTGAAAAGATAACTAACTAATCAATAACTAACTAATAATAAAAAGAAACCACTTGATTTTGCTTTAATTGGCTTATGGTATTATCGAAGAAATTTGTTTTGTTACGTGATGCATACATGTACCGGACTAACGATACATATGTAATGTGAATACGAGCATTGAACAGTATTTTATATAAGCTAAATCATGGTTGGATTAAAATCACCAAAGTTGTTGCTACTTTCATCTCAAATAAAAACAAGCAGCATTAGTTCGAGGCGACTTAAAGCGAGCCTATTTATCGTATATGCAAGGCTAATGCGTACGCTATACAACTCGCTTATGCATCTCGCGTATGCGTCACGCTTGTGTCTCTCGCCTATGCATCTTGCCTATATATCTCGCCTAATCATCTCGCCCATGTGTCTCGCCTATGCAACTTGTCTATGCAACTCGCCTATGCAACTCGTCTATGCAACTCGCCTATGCGTCTTGCCTATCCATCTTGCCTACGCATCTAGCTTAGGCATTCGGCTATGCATACTGCAGTCGCAGAGAATATTACGTTTCTGCGACGAGAAAGATTTGAGGTAAACTCAACTTTTATGACATCTCCCGTTTCAATATCGTTTCTCCATTCGATTCAAGCTTGTGCGCCTGATATGTATTTCTACCATAATTTTCGAGATAGACGAAATTCGTCAAAGCTGACATATTTTGAACTGGGGAATATTTGATCGGCCTGTTTGGACGAACTTTCTCCGTGTAACCGCATTTAGAAAAATATTTGCAATTTTTAATTCTTCGTGGTTGGTAAATAGATATAATTTTTAACATTATTCCGCAATAGTAACTTAAAAAAAACGTAGGTTTCTTCTTGGTGCCCATTTCTTGTAAATGTTTTCATGAAAAGTAAGCTTTTGTATGCTATCATTTTTGTACTTGATGGAAAAATAGAAAAATAATAATAAGATTTTCGAGTGGAAAATCAATTTTGCTAAATTTGGATTATATTCTCTCCTCTCCCCTCTCCAATCTCCATCATATAAAGAGTCCCATGAAAACTATGCCTTTTGGCATCATGTCAGTTTCAGTATTGTATCATGAAAACAAATGAATTTGTAATGGTCGAATTAGACTTATTGTAGTGTCCTTGCTTGTTTGACATTACACAAGCAACTTGCAATAATTACATTTGAAAGGCAGTGCTGTTCTATTGTTTCTTTTTTATTTTTAGTATAACTTTCGTATATAATAAAGAACTAAAATTCATTCATTATGATTATGGCCTTGAAAAATTTCGAAGATAATGTTGTCGGTGGATTTAAAGCCTCTTGCTGCTATTGCGGTGAACTGATGGATCTAACTTAGATCTGCCATCGTGCAATGCAAAATGCCTACAAAAATTTTGTTGACTATCCGTATTCAGTAATGCCAGGATGTTAATGTTTTAAACTTAAATTTAATTTAGGAGGAAAATTAAGCCCAAGTTTCTTGCGTTTCTTCCGGAAGAACTCTCATAGAGTGCATCGATCCATAGGGATGTATGATCCAAGAGTTGCATAAAAGTAAATGAAAATCAAATATGCAGAGCATTATAAAGTAAAATACTCCTAGACTGCGTCGAAGCTCAAAGCCAGTCAGAGAAATGCTTATTAAAATAAATGTTAACGCCATAAACGTAAAATGAACTACCATAGTCGTTCCAGCGCTGACAACAAGCTAGTGAAATGAATACGTATACAGTACCATAATACTGAATGAAAATTTTGTCGTACTTACGAATTCATTTACTACGAAGCATGAAGAAAATGCTATAACTGGCATTGCTGAGTACGCATGAATTAAGACCAAGCCCATAACGAGGCCGAAAGCCATTTCAACTCGATCTTCATGTAATAGTGTTAGGACAAAGACACTTACTGTTTAAATAATATGAAAGGAAGAACAACAAAAGGAGAATGCAAAAAAATATAAAAATGATTATCTCTCAAATGAGATATGCGATAGCGATCTTGTCCTTTTACCTAAAAGTACATATAAGGTAGGAAAAACCAATAATAATATTGCATCGTCGGTCCAATCAAACACATAATTCATAATTTGCCAGTTTAATACAAGCCATTCGATTTCTATTATAGTTGTTAACAAGAAACCAACGCAAAGCCCCCACAATGCAAGAAACTATATAAAGAAAAATTGTTAAACTTTTAAATTTTTATGCAAACACGTTTTGCTTACATCGTGATTTTTGGGAACTCGCTGTTTATGTGTAAAGACCATAATCATTATTTGGCAAAAAACGATTAAAGCCAAAATTCCAATGTACATTTTGTGAGTAAAATTCAATTGGATTACATAAATTAAAGTTGGCAGGAAACTAGTGCAAAAAATAAATTTACACCAACCGTGTAATTTACGTTCCGGCCGTACGACAGGTATTAGAAGTGCCGTTATAAAAAAGAAGGGTGCCTGAAAGTAAATTTTGACTTAATGTTATTTGCAATTATTTGTTTAAACTTAATAACCAGTAAAATTTTAATGCCCGCGCCGCCTTTGACATTATGGAATGGGCTGATCGATATCAAAAACTCTGCCATAGCATCGACATTTTTTTCGATAGGATTTTGTTGCATCCCCCGATATTCATCACTAGGTAAACTCTCTGAGCTAGAAGGTATTGAGATATCGTGTTCACTCACGTTAAGCTTTGTTGTCTTCTCTTCCGGCTGTCTATTCGGTGCACTTTTTCTTACATTACGTTTCGAAAATACTAACACATTTACGAGATATATGAGAAAGACGATTATTGATATATATGAAGCTATATGAATAAACGGTTCTGACTGTTGATGTTTCATTTTTCTTAGATTATGCATTTCGTGATACATGACGGCATAAGCGAACGTAGACCCGACCGCTGTGAAACCAATATCACGCATTAGTGTGGCTCCCTCGATTTTTCCGTAGGCAAAAATGCATATCAGAGCCAAACCAAGGAGCAAACAATGCAAAGCTTTTCCCACTCCTGCACTATATAAGACTGAGTAGTTACGATGCAAAGAGTAACAGGTTAAAATATTGCTCATAATTGATGGCAATGTGAAGACAAGCGCCAGTACACCAGCTCCAAAGCTATATTCTTTCATTTTAAATCGTCTTAGTAATACTAAGCTGTTCGGCAACAAACTATAAAAATAATAAATGTAAATATAAAAATTTCAAAAACTGCTGAATCATGCTGAACGCTATCATACTTACAAATATTTGCTAATCACAAACATAAATAGACTATAGATTACGACGAATATTAATGTGTAGAAAACAATGAAAATTCTCCCCACTGTACTATTTGGAACCTGCAAATAGCACACTATAATTCTTAAATACTCGATAAGGGGATCTAAAGTCTGGCAATTAGGATTATTCCACACAAAGTCGCAGGATTCTTCCACAGATTCTTTAACGTTTGGTGGCCGATAACAACGCTCCCTCTATAAAATAAAAAAAAAAAAAAAAACAAAGAAGAAAAGAACTTTGTCTAAAAAATGTTGGAAAAGTTTTGCGTGTAGTTGTCACATAAATTCTATAGAAAAACTGACCTCACTAGGAATACCAACATAGCTTTCGTGGCGTTTCTCACGGCTTAACAATTTCTGAGATAACAAAATGTTTTCAAAACTTCCGTTTAAAAACCGATCAGTTGCATTCATTTTGTTCCTTTCCAATGCTATATAATAGAAAATATAATTTTTTTTTTTTGTTTAACTATATAGCAAAAATGGCTTTGGTAAAAATTCGCTTTTTATTTTGAGATGAAAAATTTCATAATGAAAACTTTCTATGCCAACAAAATGATTTGATTTTCAAATATTTTTATAAATTGAACAAGTTATTAGAATCTTCTTCTTCTTTCGAAGTTTTTTGTTTGAACATTAATAAAGTTATTAATAAAGTTATTTAAGTAATTCATTTTTTCTTATTTGGAGTTATTTGTTGGAAATGGTTCTGTTTTCCCAGTCATTAGAATCGTTGATCTTGAGATATTTGTGAGCGTACCTATAGATTCATATTCGTCTTGAAGCAGGGCATGCCTTCACGGCACCTATGTAGGATTTGTGCAAAAAGCTACGATGAAACAAGAAGTAAACAATTTCGAAAAATATTTTATTTTTATACTCATCACCGAAGTGTGAAGGGTATATTCATTTTGTCAAAATGTTTGCAACGCCCAGAAGGAAGCATCAGTGACTCCACAAGTTATATATATTCTTAATCAGCATCAAATTTTAATTCGATTTAAACATGTTCATCCAACCGTCTGTCCCTTTGTGCAATGTCTGTTGTAAACATTCTCCTGGTCGCAAAAATAAAGCTATCGCCTGCAAATTTGGCAGAAATATTGGAGGTCATTACCCATGAACTATAGCAAATAAATGTACAAAAATTTGAAAGCGTATTTTTTGGGCGTTGCATCTGTGTACAAAAATGGACAATGTTATAGTGTATCAAAATTGAAAGATTTCTTCAATACCTGTACAACACGTAGAAACAAGCTTCAAAAGCCTCGTAAAGTATATAAATTCTCGGCCAGTTACAACCCTTGAATGCACTTAAACATGTCCGCCTGTTCATCTGTCCATTTGTCTGTTGTTGCGCAACTTTGTAGGATTTGTGGTAAACATTCTCCCGTTAGCGAAAATGAAGATATCGCCTAAAATTCGCAAAAGAATTTAGAATTGACCTGAAACTGTTCAAAGGACACGCGGACACATGCCCACATGCGTCTACAACGAAAACTTTTATTTTGAAAATAGAAAAAATCAACTGCGTCCACTCCACTTTATAGAGCAAAAGAATTTTGTTTTTTTTATCTTTTTTGGGGTAAACGCTGATGGATATAAAAGATTCGGTCCCGACCGAATTTAACTTTCTTACTCGTTTTTATTTATTTATTTAGACATGAAACTAAGCTAAAATACAGCGAAATTCAATTGACTCTTAAAAGTAAATCTCATAGTAATTAATAGTAAAAGCTAATACAAAGTAAAAAAAAGAGAAGTAAAGAAAAAAAAAGTAATAAAAAAAAAAAGAAAAAATCATGTATAAATAAATAAGAAAAAAAAAAGAAAGAAAAAATCTTGTACACAACTAGTACAACCCCATTGCATATCGCTTCTATTGCACATTTTAAACGACAAAGTTTTCCAATATTAGATAACAGGCTGTTCACATCAAGGATGATTTCTTTAATTTTGCCAAATGACTTCACTATCAAAATATTGTGGAAAAGTGACTGATGTTAAACTTAAACTTAAAAGCGCTAACGCTTTCGTATTACAATCAACAGTATTAAGCGATTGGTTTCAACTTACAACTACAAGTGGTTTTGTTTGCCAGCAAACATGTCCTGAAAGGTGTAGCAGTTTTCTACAACCTTTATGTGTCCTTTTCTGCTGTTTGATATGAACACATCAACTCGTTTTTTTTTAAATTTTTTTTTTTTTTTTTGTTGATACCTAAAGAAGGGGAAATACAGCAAATGTAAAGAGATGAACTCAACGACTTTGTGGATAAATTGATTGAATTTACATTTTCATACCCAACACCAAAAGATGATGGGTGCACCTAAGTATGTCCCTTCACCTTCACTTATACATCTAGACGTCTGCGTAACGCTGTAGTATCTGTGGCAAATATACTCCCGTTTGTAAATATGAAGATATCGGCTACAAATTTGCAAAACAATTTGAAAATGATCCAAAGTGGTCCAAGGACATGACTGCAACACCTACACAACTATGCAACAAAAATTGCATGTTTTTCGGTTCTACTGCATATCAATTTTCACCTTTATTCCGAAAAGAAAAATCAGCAGCGTCTACCCAACTTTGAAGAATAAGAAAGTTCAGTTCTTTTGCTTCTTTTTAGGATCGCGGTGACCGGTCACGGCTGAATATGATTTCCTTATTTGTTTTTTCTCTTGATGATTTGGTTGAAATGACGAAAATGCCCGAAATCACTGAAATCAAAGCAGAAAATAAAAATAAATCTAAAGTAAATTCAAAGTCATGAGACTCAAAGAAGCTTTCCCGCAGCGTTTCTCAAGTGTTTATTGGAGTATACACTAATGTAGCGATTTAAATAATTTATAACTGTAGACACCTTTAACGCAGACGAATTTATTAGAGGTTATGGAACCAGTTGTCTAAGCGCTAAAAATGAAATGTATGCAGCATTAAAGAAGTGTTGCGTCGAAGGAAATAAAATGAATAAATGTTTTTTTGAAAAAATTAAAAATTTGTTATCATTTCACTGAATTTTGACATGAGATGACGAAAGGGCGTGGCTAAATCGTCTTATGCAAATCCAAAGCATATCTGTTTTTGATGATAACCTCAGATCGTTACGAACGAAGTGAAAAGTTGTTAATATTTTGATCCTTAGGGGCTTTGCCATAAAGACTAATGGTTGCTTTATTTATTTTTTTCAAATACTCTTTTTCACCGCTAGGAAAACTTAGGCAGCAGCAATAGAATTCTTATATGAAATGGAATAGATTTCCATATTTTGTATATAATTATGTATATGTCGTTCCAGATATTTCATATATTTATGATAGAAGTCTTAACAAAAACCGTTGACAATAAACAACTGCCTTAAATTAAGCTTATCAAATGCAAACGATTTTCCGGACCATATACATGTCTAGGAATACATTATAAAAAAGACCATAATCTGAAGGGAAAAAAAAGAAATACATACGATAAAGCGTTTAAGCGGAAGTTAAAAACACAATTCATTTCCATATCGATGTATATGTGTGTGGGTGAGAAACAGAAAAAAATTTCCTGGTGCAGTTGTTATATAAGAAAGAAAACAAAAAAAAAAAAAAAAAAAAAAAAAAAAACAACTTTACTATGGGATAGCCGGACACAAAGAAAATTTTGAAAAATTGCAAAAGGAAAAACAAACGAATTCAAAGGGGTCGAAAGGTAAGCAATTAGTTACTCTTTACAGAGGTTAAGACAATATGACAGGAAAAATATTTTACCAAGCAAATACAGAACAATTTATTGGGAAAATAAAAAAAATATGGCTTTCTACGAAAACTGTCCACTATAACCTTTACATAAAGTAAACAAGAGAAATAAAAAATAGAAATAGAAATAAAATTGAGTTTGAGTTATGGTTAAAATTGCTACTAAAAGATTGGTCTTTGTTCATTCTCAATGATTTTTTATAGACTTGTAAGGGAAGAAAAAGACGAAAATAGTGACAAAGAGGAAGAGGGAGGTGGAGAGACGGGGACAGAAAAAGAAAGAAAGAAAGATAGGGAGTGATTTAAGCAGAATAACAACACAAAAACATGTTTATATGCATTACTGGTTAACTGGTATATAAGGCACAATAATATTCATCGGGCACTTCAGCCAATACAACTAAGGTTGTCTGTCTGTTCGTACGGTTTTCAAAAATGTAAATAAAAATATTATTTCATTTCATTTGATTTCTTCAAGGTCCTTCTCAAACCGTTTCCACAAGCGATATACTAGCGAACTTCTATGAGTTATAACTTTTAGTTATGGACATAAGGACAATGGCCAAACAATTGTGAAAAACCTGAAATTTGCTAAGTTTAAGCCGTCATAAATGTTACATTTAATGATTGCTATCGATGAAATACGTCAATCACATAAGTTTGTTCAGTAAACGTGTTTCAAATCGATCCATTAGTAGATAATCTGTAATTAAAGCAGAAGGTGACAAAATACATTAGTATATCAAATTTCATCAAAATGTCCGTCTAAGCGATGGACAGACAACTTTAAATCGATTCAGAAATTGATTCCGAATTGATTGGTATAGTATAGTACAAGGTGGGTCTATCTAAAGAAAATATTTGCTGTTCTAGCTTTTTATCAGCAGATATTATTCCTTCCGATTACTACGGGTTTCAATACACGAGTTATTGTTTAGTTGAATGGTGCTTTCATTCTTATGGCGATAACCAAATATGGGTTCTTTTGGCGATAACCTTAAAAAACCAGTTGTTCGTTTTGCACTTACATCATATTCAGCGTAAAGAATGGGTAGTTAGGGTAAGTTAGTTGAATATAATATCTTATGCTACGTTTTTACAATTTCCTCTGAATTTTGCTAAAAAAATCGGCGGACACTTATTCGCACCCGCAATAGAGTCCTGGTGACTATATATTCTGAAAAGCTTTGTTTTAAAAAAGGATTTAGGGACTTGAACTTAGTGTATGATATAGGATGCAAATCGTACCATTTGGCAGGGAGAACCATTTTTACTTTTATTTTGCTTAGCCATCGTTACGTTCGTTCTACCTAAAATTTAAAGGAAAAGCTTTATTTTATATGAGCACGTTTTTGGAAGAAATTGCAAAGTGAAGCTAAATGAGATCCCATTGATCGCAACTATAGGATATTTCTACGCTGAACAGAATAGGATTTGCGCTAATGTAGGTGGTAGGTAATTGCGCAGGATAAATTTCAGACATGATGACGACTGTCCTCGTTCAGGTCTTTTATATACATGGCGGAAATGCGAATGACTTTAAGCGCATAAGCCCGGATGTGATAGGAAGACAAGACGGCGAATTAACAGGTCCACTCTGTTAATTCGCTAACTGATCTAACTTATGCTGTTCAACTAACTGGAATAGTGTATTAAAGTAAATCACAGGAA